GTAGGAGTTTTCGGCCCAATAAGGCCTAAGGAAGGGTTTTCGGTCTAATGGAAAGCCTAATAAAAGTTTTCAGCTCAATGGAAAGCCCAATAGAAGTTTTCGGCCCAATAATGTCCAAAGAAAAGTTTTCGGCCCAATAGGGTGTTGGGCCGAGAATTCTTAGATCCAAGCCCAAAATGGATTGGACTTAGCTATTGGATCGAGTTTTTGGGCTTGTGTGAGGCTTGATTCACAATGTATGCACGTATAAATTTAAATAACATTGCAGTTTGAATTTCACTAATTGGGTGTTGCAAGGTTACATGGAGGAAATTGTTTCGTACAAGAATCACAATCTCAACCCTAATTTGCTAGTTGTGACAAATAGGTATGCAAAATTGATTTTTTTTCAGGATTTCAAAGAACTTTTTTTGCAAACTCGATTTATTCTTAGGTTGAAGCTAGATTTGGCAAACTTGATTTCGGATTCAGTTTTGGCTTGAGATATCGATCCAAATTCGATGTTATGCTTTTGTACAAACTATTTTTGGTTTTGCCGGGTTTGATCGAGCTTCAAAACATGACCTGAAACATGTTCAATTAAGAGAGAGAGATAGGGATGGGGTGGGACCCTTTGAAAATTAAATTTTATATATATATATATATATATATATATATATATATATATATATATGACAAAACATCATAAATGGTCCCTATGGTAGAGAAATGATGGAAATGTCATCTGAATATAATAATCAAATAATACTTAATGGTTAAAAGCTAACAGAGTTAGCAAAAAGGACCAAACATCAAAAGTTTTGAAAGCACAGAGACTATCTATGATGTTTTGAAAGCACGGGGATCAAACTTCAGATCTGGGAAAAGCACATGAACCATTTATGAAGTTTTTTCTATTTTTACACTTTAAGTTACTCATCTTATAATTTTAAACTGCCTATTACTCATCTTATAATTACCTTAAACTGACTATTATTCTTTTAAAGTTATCATTACACCATATAACAAATCAATATGTTAATATTAATATTTGATTGAAAATTTTAAAATTTTAAATTATTAAAAATTTAAATAATTAATTGTTGATGTGGATATATGGTCATTGAAAAGCTATTGATATTACATTGATGTAATATATAATTACAAATATTGTCATGGTTCACTTTGATATTGCAATGATGTGTTGTCTTAAATCTCCATCATCCATAATAAATGAAAATAATTTTGTCACTTGTCATCATTTTATGCATTATTCTACATGTCATTTTGTGGTAACTTTAAATTAAATTATATGTGTCATTTTGTGATTTTTTTTTCATTTATATTAAATTCAATATAATACTTAAATGCAATAAAATATAATAATAAATATATAGCCAATTCATTAATGCAACTTTTCTTATAATTTCTAAAATTTTAAATTGAATTAAATTATTTTTGTTATTTATTTATTTAAATTATTAGTTTAAATTTAAAAGATAAAGAAACACTTCAATTTTAATAATTAAATATTTTACTTTAATCTTATAAATTTAAATTTTCTAAATTGTTAGATCTTCATGTTTGTTTATTTTTTTGAATAAACTCATGTAATAATTGATTCTCCTCTTGACTTTAGTTATATCTCTTTTAATAAATAAATAAGTTTATTCTCCTATTGACAAGTGTCACAATATTAAAAATCTCCATTAATATTATATGTTACATATAATGCCAAATATCAACCTATTAATTCTTCATTTTAAATTTTAGATTTTAAATTTCTCACTCTAATTACATTAAATTAATAATTGACTCTTCATTTCGAATTTCAAGTTTTAAATTTTACACTCTAATTATTTTAAATTAATAACATTAGAATAAAAAATAAAATAAAATTAATATATATATTATAAGGTGACATAATTTCATTATTTTTTAAATCAACGATTATAATTTTATATAACTAAAACATATCTCTTAATTAATAGTTTATTTGAAATAATTGATTACTAATTTTGAGTTTTTAGTATGAACGTTTAATTAATTTTATGATCGTGGTTCTCAGATGTTATAAACTAGTTATTAATAAATCATATACGAAGATCCAAACATGTCATAATTTATTCATTTATATACATGTGGCATTGAGAGGACAATCCAACATGTCATAATCTATTCATTTATATACATGTGGGGTTGCGAGGACATTTACACTTTTTTTTAGTTTTATTTTTAGAAGTTATGAAATTATAATTATATTAACTATTTGTTTTTATTTAAATGACGACTTCAATAAAAATGTTCAAATTACCATAGACATAACATGTATGACGCAACATAAGATTTAGTTCAGTAAGTTGAAACTTATTCCAATGGTACAATGAGAACAATAAAAAATTATGGACGTATTGAATATAATTAAAAATTAATTGTCTAAAAACAAGTTAAAAAGAGAAATTGAGTAATTTAATGTCCATTTGAAAAAATAATCAAGAAAATTTGTTTTTGGTAAAAATAACCATCAAATCTGGTTCCGAGAATTCCGAATTGAGAAAAACACATTTTCAACAAAAATATACATTTCAGATTGACATTTTGAAATTCCATACTAACGTTTTGGATATCAGGAAAAAAAAAAACTCTGTAATTTCAATAATAAATCCAAAATCCAATTAACAATTTTGGAATTTGGAGAAAAATATTCATTTTACTTAAATTTAATAAAAAAACTAAACAAACTTACTAATTGTGAACTATATACGATATTAGGTTATAAAATCATATATTTGATTGAAATACGGTGACCTTAAACATTCAAAATAGACATCTCGGATATAAATAAAGAGATTTCTTTAGAAAACACAATTAAAAAAAAAAAGTTCAAAATTTGTAGATCAAATTTGAAATGAGACGTTAGGAGTAAAATTTTTCAAAACTGAAAAAAAATGGTTATTTTAAAAAACTTTACTCAATTTCAATTAAATATTCTAACTTAAGATTTTTATGACTTATGTAACCTGAAATATATAACGATTTGAAAAATAATAGTGAAATATTGAATGAACATAAATAAACCTGGGGAGTATATTGCAATTTTTACGTAAAGAAACATTCTGATCCGTGATAGTCGATAAAAATAATATTAAAAGTGTACTAAAAAATTGTGGTTATCAGGAAAATAAGTCAGATCCACTCCAACTCCTTCAAGACTGTAACAATCCAGCTGGAACAACCCTTTGGACAATAATTCACACACAAGGACAAACAGTAATTACACTCTGACCCCATGATATTTACTGCTATCCATTTTGGGTCCTCTTGTTTTATCATCTTATATCAAAATGGCAGGCATTTTATATGGTGAATTCATGTTTATAATGTCTCCCATACAAACTAAAAACTGGTTCAAGGTAACTCGCTCATTCTTGGAAAATGTTCAACTTACATGAATTGGTTTTTGAAAATCATGAAAACTAAGAGGACTTTTATGACATTTATTGTTTTGCATGGACTAAGTAGTTAGAAGCAATACTCATTCTGCTAAATGGTTTCGTAATATTAACATTAAATGAAAAATACTGGTTACTTACGTGAATTTTGATAACAACGTTATTGTACGATTCTATCAAACTTTGTAATGTTGTTTCTATGTACAAAATTAAATAATTATAAGTATACCTAATTTTATTATAATTTGTTTTTATTATCTTTTAGAAACGGTTTTTCATGACTTATCTAATAACACTCATTTCAGTTTTTGATATTATGATTATTAAACTATTGCATAGATGAAGTAAAAAATTGGCTTGTGGTTATCTCACAGGTATCATTTCAGTTTTTTCTGATTTAAGTAAAAAATATGTTTAAAATTATTAGAATAGGTTTCCCTGTTCATTAGCATATATTTTGGGATAAGTCGATCACATATCATTATATGTTTAAAAAATATTAAAAAAGAAAAAGAAAATAGTATTTGGAAAAACAGAAATGTAACAAATTGTTGCCCCAAATAACGTAAAGATGAAATTTGGTAGAGAAAAAGACAAGCTTGTTTTTCCCAAAAAATATTAAAAGAAAGTTATAGGAGGAATATGGACCGTAGAATCAGAATTTACCCGTAACAACTTTTGTATAAGGTATTGGGGTAAAATCAATTTACTCAACGGGTAAAACACTAAAACCCCAATAAAAGTCAAAGTGGTCCATTTTCAAGTCAAAGATTATCCCGTTAGGAATTACCATCCAGTTTGGCAACCGCTAATGTGGTCCTATTTTTACTTGGATTTTCATATTACACAATTTAATAGTTGTCTATTCTTCATTTTCATCGTCTTATTATATATAAAATGTAATAATGTTATTTTTTTAGTGGTAATAAATACAATTGGATAGAATTAAAAATGAAGGAAAAGGTTGAAATGAAATGGAATCTTCTGACCACTGAAAATAAAAGACACTCCTCTAAATACTACGTAAATTATAAAGAATTAATAAAATACTTTGTTTAATCATATTTTAAATTTAACAGTCACTTCCAGTTTATATTGAAACAATTTACTTTTTCTCGAATTAAATAAAGATGTGTGTCAGCCAAGCACACTGGATCACAGTGCTGCTGCACCTGCTATGGTTGAATGGAATCTCAATGTCTCTCTCTTTCTCTCTCACACACACACATACAGATACAAAGTTCATGTTTTCTCTCTCTTGAAACCAATCACTTCAAGCATCAAGATCCGAGCTCAAACACCCATAAACAGAGAATTAAATGAGCTCCATAGTCATTTCGCTACTTGTTACTCATTTCAATCGAATCAATTACACCAAAAATTTAGAAATCAAGTAAGACCCAATAATATAAATCCTACCAAAAAATCTATATACGAAAATTACTGTACAAGTTCCTGCTGTTTTCTCATCCTCCTCGGCCGCCGCCGGAAAATTCTTCGAAAAATCAGCCTCGGAAAGAGCGGGAGAAAAAACAGAGACGGAAGAAAGTTTGTTGTTGTTGATGACGATTAAGAGTCGCCGTAATCACGCCAACAGATGAGCATTGTGACGCATCGTCTCATGATGTAGAATCTAGCTCTTTGTTCTTTGACGAGACGAGCGCATTTTCTGGTGAAAGCACAACGGCGGTGAGTATCGGCGGAGGAGGAAGAGGGGTTTCTGATAAGTGAAGAAGTGGAAGAACGGCTTCTGGAGATGCTTTCTTTTTTGGAGAGCTTCCATTTTTCGTCTAGGTAAGTGAAATGTGGAGGGGCAACCGCCGCAGGTGTAGCCATTGTCGGAGGGAGATACTTGATACTTCTTTAATCGTGACCGGAGAAGGAGAAGGAGAAAGTGAAAGAGAAAGAGAGAGATCTGATGGAAAAAGGTGGTATTGAAGGTGGGGGAAAACAGGGGGTTTGTATTTATACTGGGGGTGGCAGGAGGGTGTGGCAGTGGGTATCACCTGGCTCTATCTCCTTGACATACCCACCTTTTAATTTTTGCTTAACTCAAATCATGACATCTTTCCTCCCAATTTTAACTCAAACTATTTTTTTAAGCATTTCCCGTAAAATTTCTAACCTTTTATGAAATTAGAATTAATTTGATAATAATATTGTCAATTTAGATAATTAAATACCGCTAATTCAAACATCAATCTATGTGAAAAAAGTCCTATCATATTACAAATGATTAGTATATATTACATTTTTATTCATATACAATTATATATATATATATATATATATATATATATATATATAACTTCTCTATGCAGTAACAATAAGTCTAAAAGTAAAAAATTAGGCCGATTAAAAAATAAACAGGTTTAACCGAGTTGGTTCACTCAGAAAAATAACCGCCTTAAGTATGTATAAAAATGTTGGTGATAGCACAGAAGCCAAATTGATCATTTCTTAATTATTATTATTTTGACAAAAACTAACTTATACTTGGAGTGATTGGTATGAACTAGCTCTCAACAAACTTATCATGTGGAAGTGTGAAAAAAAAACATCTACTTATAATGGACATAGAATTGATCTAAGATAACCACTTTGAACTCGTGTAAGATGATGGAACATCCAGAGCCAACCAACATGCAACAAGAGACCAAATCGAATATGATATCGAACACATGATCAGTAAATAAGATTGTCTTAGATGCAAGTCGCAAATTGGGCATAAAATGGATTCCATATGAATCCCTTGTATGGCGAGATTGTAACATGTAGGCACCCGATATATAACTAATTTTACCACAACATATTAACTTGACTGGCACAAGATTGACCTTCATCACTAAATACTTTGTTGTCGACCTAAGCTTCCACACTCATCTGTCATTTTGATTAACTAAACCAAACTTCGTTAAATCCCACCAGTTTTTCGCATTGTTCTTCTTCGGCTCCCTCATGGAGATCTATACAAACAACCATGCGAGCCAGCCCTACAAGTTCTATTGTTTTTTAAAGTGGTGTTTGTTTTTTGTCTGCAGATCTTCTTGGTCTCTTCTGTTTGCGCGACGCAGACCACGCGCATACATTAGCATTCGCAGACTGTTTGTTTTTTTGAAAACTGCATACCTAAAAATGTATGTGCGCTCTCTTCTTGACGCAGGTGTGAACCAGAGTCTTCTAACATCTTCAGACATTTTCTAGCCTAAAAAAACAAATATACTTTATTTTTTTTAGTTTTTTTGAATTTATATTTATTCCAACTTTATTAGTGATAAACAATTTGGAAAAAAAAAATTATAATACTTAAAAAAAAGTTTGACAACACAAACATGATATTTTTGAAAATTTATAAATAAAAGTTTATTACAATAATGTCGTTAAAGTTGTTTATATAAATATGAAGAAAAAAGAACTATATTCTTATATTTTTTGTGAAAATTTTTATAAAACATTAATTAATAAAACATCATCAATTTCTTAGAAAAAATATTTATGGCACGTTTTTAATTTATTTAATTGAAAAAATCGAAGTTTATTTCCGTTCATTTACATATCAAATTCTTTGATTCCTAATTATTCCTAATTACAATGTTTAAGCATAACTTTGCGACCAAAATTGTTGGTTTTTATCAAATATATACGTTAATTTGTACCATATTTATTTTCATTTTTTATACAATAATACATAAAAGTTGATTTAGATTTGTTCATTATTTATAAAAAAAAGTCATAAATATATTAAAAAATCACTTTGTAGTTAAAAAAAATCAGTTTATTTAGATTTTAGTTTATTTTAGTAGCCTGCAGATGTTAAAAAAACAAACAGTCTTTTTTTTCAGACTGCTGACGTTTGGTCCACCTCTTCTGCTGCAGATGTCTACAGAAGTGGTCTGCAGACTACAGACATTTTGCCTCAGAAAAAACATACAGCACCTAAGACTGTAGGGGAGTAATATCACTTTTGTCAAACAGTTCTCTCTGCCACCTAAGCGCTACATCGGCTTTGCCATGCTTTTATGATTTTTTTTCATGTAAAAGGAATGGTTTGATATTTAGCCACACTTTTTTAAATTAATTTATTTTAACAACTGGATTTAGATAGAAATTATAATGTTTATTAAATTAAATTAAAATAAATACATAAAAATAATTAAGGGAAATTATAATGTTTATTAAATTAAATCAAAAAATCTGGAAACTGGCGAGTCAACTCGCCGAGTTGGCAAGTGAACTCGTCGAGTTCAAATAACTCGTCGAGTCCTCTATGGAACTCGTCGAGTCCTCTATGGAACTCGTCGAGTTCATTCTCCAGAACTACAGATTTCAACTTTCTTGATCTTTGGACGATTCACTCTTGCACCAATTCAATAGAAAAACATCATAGGCTCTGATACTACTGATGCGTTATTAGCATTACAACATTCCTATGGTGCACATGCAACCCTAATTGCTTTGGATCTATGTTTTTCTCTATTGAACATAAAAATATGAACACCAAATCAATAACCCTATAGACTAACATATAATTTCGAAATTCACATATGAAACAGGGTTAGAAGATTACCTCACTTGTTATATTGTAGTAACAAGAACCATCCTTGACCTTGAAAGCTTAGTGCCCCAAGTGTTGCACCTCTAATGGAGTTACAAACACTCAATGCAAAGGATGAGTAGGAGAGATGCTAGAAATCGGCTAGGGTTCTTCCAAACACAAGAGTGGCCGACAATCCATGCATGAGGGTCTTTAAATAGTTGTGGTTGCTAGGGTTTTCAAGTGGAAACCCTAATTTCCTTGCATAGGCCTTAAGCAGTCCATGTACCTCTACAGTTAAAAGCCTTGGACGAATTCTATAGGGCTTCCTATAGATTTCGTCCAGTCCTCCTAAAGGAGTCCATCAGCCCAACTTTGCAACTATCAGTGATTTGCAAAACCAGTCCCTCCATTATTAATCAGATCCTTTAATCCTAAAAATTAATATCAAATTAATTACTGATTAATAATATGATTTCAAAATAATATATTAAACTTGTAATATATTAATAAAATCAGTTTGAGTACCAATTTAAATCATATAATAAATCCTACTCTTTCTCTACTTGTCATCCTATCAAGTTGCATGAGTGAAGACAACCCAAAAGGTCCATGCTCATAATCAAATTAAGTACATACCAAATATAGTTATGGGCTTAGACACCTAATCCAACAATTATGATATATGATGTGATTATGAGAATTGCATGCTAGATAAGGGCTAAGGATCTGCTCAGGATTTTTGATAGGAGAGATGCCTTTATATGCCTTATAGTATGAGCCTTAGAATTGCATGTTAGTATGGATTCCAGATAAGCGGGTAAAATGGCTTGTTTAGTGTATGCTGGTTAGTTTTTCCGTTGCCTGAATGCTGCTTGCTTTGTGATTTGTGGTACTCTTAGTGGTGTGGATCAACTACTAAGTGAATATGTTAAGTCACATGTTTTACAGGTTGAATAATCTAAGAGTGATGGATTTGGCCCTATTACGCAGCTCTCGTTTGAGTCCAACCGTTCTAGGGTTGAGTCTTTTACCCGAAGGATTATCTGATCTCTGTTGCACGTGAATATATTCATGAGGTGGTTAGTTTACATTAGTGAGAGCCTTTCAGCAGTTGAGGGCAGGGTGAGGTCGGGAACCTATATGCTTCAGTGGGTTTAGTGGCGCTGTTTAGTGAGTTTTTGGTGCATCAGTTTGAGAGGGTGACTTAGAGGATTCGGGATGACTCATGAGGAAAGTATGGATAGGTGTAGAAGGTAGTATTGGGGCCATACTACTGAAAGCACATGATCCATACTCGAAACAGGGATAATCGTGGAGAATCTAAGAAGCTTGGGAGAAGGATTTTTGGGTATGTTCTGATCTTTGGCATGTTGTATTTCAGTGTGGTGATGAGCACTTAGGGACAAGGTTCTGGTTCTGGTTCTGGTTCCGGATCAGGTGCAGGTACTGAGCCGATTAGCGAGCAGATGTGGGAGTTCATCTCGTCGGAGATTACTCGCGGCATTTTGGAGAAGACTCCTCTGATCTTTGGTTCGGTCAAAGAGGGGATATTGGAGATCTTGGATGAGCGCTTGGGCGCGTTCCGTGCTGAGGTTATGGAGATCTTTTCGTGGGTTCCATGTGTGTGGAGCTCCTGCGTTCTATGGGGTGAAGGACCCCATTGCTAGTAGGAGGTCGTTAGCAGGCATGACTAACGCGTTCAGGACGAGTTTCTTCCCCGAGGAAGCGAAGGTCAGATATGTTTCCTGTCTGTTGAAGGACATGTCACAAGAATGGTGACAAGAGGTAGGATGTAAGGTCGGTGAGGATGTTGTTGATGTTATGTCATGGGATGATTTTTCGACCAGGTTCCGAGCTGAATTTGCACCAGTGATTGTGGTGCGGCAGTTGGCGCGAGAATTTCAGGATCTCCGCCAGATTACTGATTTTGTGGCAGAGATCACTGCCAAGTTCTGAGAGAGGGCTTTATTGGTCCCACAATATGCAACAGATGAGGAAATAAAGAAAGTAAGGTATCATAATATGTTGCGGGATGATATCAGGGAGTTTGTGAGTATTTCAGGGTGCAAGACCCTGAATGATATGATTTCTAGAGCCCGAGAACAGGAGATCGATTTGTAGAACCTATGGAAGAGGGGGCCTGATCAGGTGCATGAAGTGGAAGGTCCCGTGACGAGACCTAAGATATCAGATCAACATTCGAGAGGCCAACATGGCCGGAGTCAGTGCAGCACATGCGGTAAACTGCATAATGGAGTTTGTCGTTCCAGGGGTATAGTGTAACGCCTCGTTCCTGGTA